CAAAACTTTACTTGAGCTGGGTATGGTGGCACATTTTTGTAATACCAAACACTTAGAAGACCGAGGCAGAAATACTGCTTCAGGTTCAAGGCCAGCCTAGGACATTCAAAGTGAAAACAAAATATAAAACATACACACACAAAACTGTAACCTCACTTGACCTACTCCCAGCCAGGGTAGGAAGCAGATGTGCCCAGCTCTAGGCCAGCCCCAGCTGTGAGAAACAGGCTCAGGGCAAATGCTGTTATCTTATTTATGGGACTCAGGCCAGTCTTGTTGATAAGTTACTCTTGCTCCCAATGTTGTAACAATGGTTTAAAACAACAAAAACTGCCCACAAAATATCCCATTTCTTTCCACCAAGAGTTTTTAAATTTTGGGGCTGGGACCGCCTCCATCAGGGTAACTGCTTGGAGCTCAGCAGCGCACCAGACAGTGCGGGATTCTGGCCTCCCGCTGGCCTCCAACTACCAGGGGGCCTGAGAACCCAGGGGACAGCCTGACAGCCTTACAGTCCCCAGATCCTGCCTGCACATAGTGGTAAGCTTTCCCTAATTGTGCCATACCATGCCTCTACCTGGGATTTTGTGAGGTCCCTCCCAAGGCCCCAAGGGCAGATCTGGCTTTGGTAGGCTAAGGCTGAGATCCTAGCGGATAGCCTGAGAGGGTGGGTCCGGACCTCCATCAGGGTAGCAGCTCAGAGCTCAAAACTGGACAAAGCCCTAGTCACTACTCGAACTCCTAGTGATTGAACATCACACTCCTAAACAATGAATGGGTAAAAGGAGAAATTAAAGAAATAAAAGAATTCCTGAAATTCAACCAATAAAAGAATTCCTGGAATTCAACAAATAAAAGAATTCCTGGAATTCAACAAATAAAAGAATTCCTGGAATTCAACGAAATAAAAGAATTCCTGGAATTCAACAAAAAGGACAATATAACACAACACAACCCTCTTGGACACATTAAAACCAGTCCTAAGAGGTAGGTTTATAGCTCTAAATGCCTATATTAAAAAATTGGAAACAGTCCAAATAAATGACCTACCACTGCAACTCAAGGCACTGGAAAGGCAAGAAAAATGAAACCCAAACCCAGCAGAAGAGAATAAATAACAAAAATCAGAGCAGAAATTAATGAAATAGAAACAAAACAATACAAAGAATCAATGAATCTAAGAGCTGGTTCTTTGAAAAGCTACATAAGAAAGACAGACCCTTAGCCCAGTTAACCAAAAGAAGGAAAGAGCAAACCCAAGTCAACAAAGA